GGAGCTCTGTGGAGGGCCAGGTCTCTCGGGAGAGGATCAGGGTATTTCCACCGAGCTCTGTGGTGGCTCCTTGGAGCCCTTCCATGTACCCGACTCCCTGTCCCCCTTCCTCACAGCCCCAGGTCTGCCAACCTCTGGCACCTGGAAACTGAGGGCTGTTTTGCACAAGCCAGGCAGCCTTCCAGGTGGCTGTCACCAGCACATCCTCAGAAACACCAGTCTCAGCTCTGAGCTCAGATGGCTGCAGAACAGCGGCCCACTCTGGTGTCTCTGACCACTTAATCCTCTCTGCCATTCTAGAATCCTGCCATTTCACTGGCACAGGGACCCCAACTCCATAGCACCAACGCAGGCCCATAGAGGGCACTCTTCCCACGTATGTGTGAGCCCTCCTCTCGCCCAGGGAGTGGAGTGTCACCTGGGCAGCCAGGAGACGGAACCTCTGACCATGTCATGATCCCTTGTAGCACTGCTCCCCTGCCCTGCTGTGCCCTGAAGCACCTCCACCGTATCTGCCATCGCCCTCCCCACGTGGTCAGCTGCTGAATGCTGCTGTCTGTCGTGCAGAGTCCAGCGACCTGGCTGAATGGGGCCATGTGCAGCACCCTCACCCGCCCACACCTGTGCTCCCCAGTGAAGGCCAGCAGGCAGCCTGGGTGGAATGTCTAGGGATTTCCATCAGAAATGGATGCCGCCTTCTCTTCCCTGGGCTCTGCTGAGAACTGACTGTGGGGGCACTCGGGGGCCATGGTCTCTCCATGAGTGGGGCACATGGACCTCCCGCACAACTGGCTGCTCTCGACAGGATTGAATACACCTCATCAGAGTGAGTGGCCACGTCAGTGCCCAGAAAGGGAAGTCGGCCCTTGCGGTCTGCAGATGGGAGCAGGCCCCACATCAGAACTGGAGCCGACGACACACCCACACACCTGGATGAGCACGTCTCTGTCTCCCCTGGAAACTGGGGAAACAGTGGGGTCCCCGCTTGTCAGTAGATGGTCACCCAGCACACACTGCTCAGCAGGCCCTCACCCGTGGTGCTCATGGGCAGGCACTGCCCTGAGAGTGAGGGCCACTCGGGTGTCTTTTTACCTTCTCACCCAAATTAAGTTTATGTATTTAGAGAATATTTTCATAAGGAGAAAGAAAATCTCTACATCCTTTTAGTTTCCACCTTCTAAGCCTGCAGCTCTCTGTCCACACTTCCTTAGAGGCCTTGTAGGGTGGCCCATCCTAGGCTCCCCAGGTTTTCAGGCAGACCAATCCCACCCTCACCTCCCATGACTGGTTCTAACAGAGGCCCTGCCCCACCTCAGCTCCACCCACCTCCCATGATTCTAAGAGGCCTTGCCCCACCTCGGAGACCACCTGCACTCCCACGACCTGTGGAGAAAGCAGAGGGCACCTGATCTGAGGCTGCGGACTCCCGGGCCTGGCTGTGTTCAGCCTGCTCTAGTGTTAAATTGGAGGTGCGGAGAGGAGGATTAATACATCTAAACAGACGAGCACCCTGCTGCCCACTCCTGTCCCCTCAGAATCTCCAAAGATGACCTTATTTGGAAATTGGGTTTTGCAAGGTGACAGTGGGCCCTGATCCAAGGGCTGGTGTCTTTAAAGAGCCCATGTGAGGTCAGAGCAATGCGGCTACAAACCAGGGGATGCTAGGGGACACCAGGAAGAGAGTGACCTTTGATAGACTTCCTTGGAGCTTGCAGAGGAGGTGGCCCCAGAGTACCATGTCCTCAGACTTCTGACCTTTACCCTTTGGGAAGAGGGTCAAACTGTTTTAAGCATCCCGGGTTCTGATGAGTTGTTGGGTCAGCCTGAGGAAATCAATACAACTTCCAAGTAGGTCTCTGCCTACAGCCCAGACACCACAGCTCTCTGCCTACAGCCCCGACACCACAGCTCTCTGCCTACAGCCCAGACACCACAGCTCTCTGCCTACAGCCCTGACACCACAGCTCTCTGCCTACAGCCCTGACACCACACCACAGCTCTCTGCCTACAGCCCCGACACCACAGCTCTCTGCCTACAGCCCTGACACCACAGCTCTCTGCCTACAGCCCAGACACCACACAACAGCTCTCTGCCTACAGCCCCGACACCACAGCTCTCTGCCTACAGCCCCGACACCACAGCTCTCTGCCTACAGCCCAGACACCACACCACAGCTCTCTACCTACAGCCCAGACACCACACCACAGCTCTCTGCCTACAACCCCGACAGCACAGCTCTCTGCCTACAGCCCCGACACCACAGCTCTCTACCTACAGCCCAGACACCACAGCTCTCTACCTACAGCCCAGACACCACAGCTCTCTACCTACAGCCCCGACACCACAGCTCTCTGCCTACAGCCCAGACACCACAGCTCTCTACCTACAGCCCAGACACCACAGCTCTCTACCTACAGCCCCGACACCACAGCTCTCTGCCTACAGGCCTGACAGCAGCTCAGGGCGAACCCGCTCACTGGCCTCTGCTTTGCTTCCTCCACAGGGCAGTGCCTGTCTCGTTCCCCTCACAGATGGCAGCCTCATCTCCACATTGACCTGCTACACGAATTCCCAATTTTTCCCCCGTTTGCATGTGACTTTTTGTCTTAAAGAAAAATTCAGTAGGGAAAAGAGAAAATAAAATGATTCTTCTAAGCAAAGGAGAAACCAGCCCAGGACAAGGTCAGGAATGTAGATATGAACTAAGAGACAAAGAGCGAAACTGACTGGCGAAGCGCCACCTATCTCTGCTCCTGGGACACACAATTAAAACACCAGGCTCCGTTAACGCCAATGGTAGAAGAACCGGAACCCAGAGCATGCGAAGGCTCACCAAATGGAGTCGATGTGCAGATGGAAGGCGGCACAGCACACTGGAAGGCAGGGAGTTTTATTATGGAAAACCTCACATCTGAAAGGTCAGTTCCGTGGAAAGACACAACCACTTTGACTTTCAGGACACAGCAGAGTTGCAAATGCTAGTTCTTTTTTAAAGAGAAAACAGCAAGAACCAGGAGGGTGCCCCCGGGGCCACACAGTGCAGGAAAACACCACCCAAGGCAAGACCTGAGCAATGAGCCTCGGGAGGATCACAGAGCAAGTCAACCAGCTTCCCAGACGAAGTAGAGGAGCACACTCAGACTACAGCACAAACCCACATGGAGGTAAGCAGAACCGCAAAGACACGTCCCCTCCTGTAGACCCCCTTCTGTGATGCGCAGGACTGACGGAAGCACAAACACGCCGTCCAGAGGGATGCAGCTAACACTGGGACGGAGGGAAAGGTGTAGCCTTCAGTCCACAGGCAAAGGAACAAACCAGATCCTCCACCTCGGGGTGAGAAAGAACAGCACAATAAACAGCAAGGAAGAGGAAACGGAAAATGAGCAGAAACAGACGCAAGAATCCAGACAGACACCAGCAAGGACCGACAAGCCAAGGGCCACTGTAAACACAAATGCCATTGACAGACCTCTGGTGGGAGTGGCCAGAGGCCAACAGGCAGCAGGGCCACCGGGAGAGGGAGAAGCGGCTGGCCACACAGAGCAGACAGGCCAGCAACAGGCTCATTTTCTAGAAAGAAATCCAACCTATGGAAGTGGCTCAAGAATCAACGTCCAACAGCCGTGAGGGGAAAGGATCTAAGGCCGCCAAGACGCCCTGGAGTCCAGCCTCCACACCCAGGGACACTCTGGCTTACCCCGCCTCCATGCAGCACCACCCAACTACCAAGACCCAATGACCATCTCCTCAGGGAACCAGCAGCACGCTCACCCTGCGCAGATGCCCCAGAGTGTGACCCACACGCCACGCGACCTTCAGCAAGGACACGCTGGTCGGAGAGTCCCTGGGGCCTCTCCTGGAGCAATGCTGTTCAGAGTCTGGGTTTCAGAGACTAAAACCCAGCACAGAGCCCTGCAGCTCTCCAGGGCCACGCCCGTCCAGGGAAGGGACACCAGCGGCTCCAACACACTGACCTAAGTCGAGCTAAAGAGCAGAATGCCGACATGACCAAGAGACCCTCGGTAAACACGGCCGTTGGGTTAAGCAACTCAGAGCCAGCAGGGCCACAGGGCTGACAGGTTCTAGTGCTCCTCCCCTCCCAGTCCCGTGTCACACTCCCTGGCGTGGGCTTCCTCCTCGCTGGACCCTGCAGAGCACAGATGTCACGTTCCCACTGTGACCTGAAGCCCAGGAGGCAGGTGTTTCCCTGACTCGTCAGTCTCACCCCACTCCAGAGGACAGCTCCTGGGACCCAGGACTTCTCCTTACCCTCCCCGCCTACCTGAGACTTGCCAACGCTGGCACCGACCCTCAATGACCTGCTGTCCCTTGTGCACATGGCCTCTACACACGGAGGCCTCACTCACAAACCTGGCTGGTGCCCACCCGCTGCAGCAATCCCCACCCTCGAGTGCCCCCCACCCCAAGAAGGACGGAGCACAGCCCCAGGCCAGCCCTCCTGCCCGGTGTTCCCAAGGTCAGGCATGGTGGCTAACTCCCTGCACTCACACAGGCACGTCTCAGGACAGAAGGAGCTCGGGTGATCAAGGTCCCTGACCACCAAGGGCTGGCCCGGCTCTCCCAGCGCCCCGCTGCCCTCTGGAAGCTCACCAGCGAGGGCTGCCTGCTCTCTTCTCTCTAGACCCTAGATTTCTTGATTTCTAGCTTGATATCTTTCACCCAGAACCCGCCTCGCCTCTTTCCTCTACAGTCTTGGGGACCCTGGTGTGCCTGTTGTCTGTGGGCTCCTCCCCACCACCTTGGAAGTTCGTCCTAGGAAAGAAGAGACCGCAGAGCTCGCGGGAGGTGTCTTTATTCAGCAGGGCCCCTGCACAGGGAGCGGCGCCTACACTGTGCTCCTGAGGTTGAGGCACCCCGCGGTGCTGGGCGACAGGCTGCCGATGCTAATGACGATGCTGTTGGAACCGTAGGCCACAGTAGCCACATGTCCCGGTTTTAGTTTCTTTGTCCTGAAAAAAATTCAAAAGGAAAATCTCATAGTGCACACTCCACTTCCAACCACAGCCTGAGGAGCAGCACAGGACAGGAGATGCATGTCAACCAGAAGGTCACTGAGGCCCAGGTCGGGGCTGAGCTGGGACGAGCAGGCCCTGGATCCTGGTTCACCCTGGCCTGACCTGTGGGGCAGCGGGAGGCAGAGGATGGAGCCCCACCTCAGGCCCTGCCTCTGCAGCCGTCCCAAAGGACGGCCAGAGGAACTCCCGTGCCCCCAACAGCTATAGCTGGCTGCGACCCACCTGCTCTCTGAGCCCGAGGACCAGGATGCCCCAACCTCAGCCCACGGGCCGGGCTCCAGGGATGTCACCTGGACACAAAGTGACAGCATCCTGTTCTAGGCTGCTGACACCTGGCGCTGCTACACTGCCCTTTACCCTGACGAGCACCCAAGATGAATGCCAGCTTCCAGTAAAGGCCACTTCCAAAGGCGACAGGCCACCAACCAGGACACCAGCTGGTGAAACAAGAGCCCCACCTGCCCCGTCACAGGGTCTGCAGTCTTCTCTCCTCCAGCACATGACCTGCACCACTGGGGATGTGCCCCAGGGCCTCACAGCTCCTCCGCTGGCCCGTTCCTCGTCCTCACGAGCCCGTGTGTTGCTAGCCGATAGGAAAAGCCTCCCTTTGAGGGTCTCATGCTGCCATCCCGACCTTCAGTGTGGCTGGATGCAGACAGGTCCCTCAGGGAGGAGGTTAAAATGGGTCACTAAGGTGGTCCGCATGAGCAGACACATGCAGAGGGACCACCACATGTGGACACAGGGAGGACACAGCGTCTGCCAGTCAGGGAAGGCCGTCAGGAGAGGGCCTGCCCGCCAACCTGGGCCTCCAGCCTTGGGAAAGGCATGGACATCCATGCCTGAGCCTTAGGCTGAGGCACCCTGCCTGGCAGCCTAGGACAGCAGCCAGGGGGATGGCTCAGAGACAGGCCTGGTGCTAGAGGGGGGAGGGTGGAGGCCCCAGGACGACACCAAGCCAGCACTCAGGCACGAAGCTGCTTCCAGAAGGCCACTCCACACAGGCCCCGCCGTGCAGGCTGGCAGGCGAGTGTGTGCAGGTGACCACTGGGGACCAGCAGGCCACACAAAGAGCACCAGCGAGCAGCAAGGCTACCTACCAGGTTTATGTACACCTTGGGGTGGCCCAGGGCGCCCCCGCCGCCGTCACAGGAGATCACCCGGTGGTCCACCTCGCTCACAGGCTGCTCTGCTATCAAATCAATGGCGAAGTTTTCATTCACCTGGAACAAGAGGAAACTTAGCCAGGTGCACACAGCCTCGATCATCTATACCACAGAAGCTTGTCAACAGCACCCACCCAACCCATGACCCGGCACATTTCACTAAAGATGACCATCGTAGTCTTTCCACACAGACGAACAATTCCGTGAAACACAGCCACACGTCCACATTGACCCTTCACATGGAATGCAAGGATTGGAACAGGAGGAAGAATTCTCACTCTGCCCTTGGCTCGGCAACTGCCAAGCCTGCCCCAGGTGCCCACACTCACTCTCCTGTCCCCTCCAGTGCCTGTGCCCACCGTCTCCAGACCCAGAAGAGCACAGCTGGCCACAGGCCTCCGGGCTTTCTCGAGAGACCTGACAGGGAAGCTGGTGTGTGGCAAGCATGACCCCACGAATGTCAACACGTACATCCACACCCACACGCTCTCGCAAGCACAAAGACACCCACACAGACATGCGGTTCAGAACAGTGAGTCCTCGAGAGAGCGCCAACTCCGATCTACAGGACTGTCTGTGCTAGTGTCCACCCAAGCGCCTTTTTGCACGGTGAGAGCACTGGAGCTCAATGACAGCCCATGCTAACCTGCACAGTCCCCAGCTGAAGGAACTGCGGGCCCAACACCAGAGTCCAGGGGCTGCACCCCTGCCACAGTCTGGCTGGGCACAAATGCCGCAGTCTGGCTGGGCACACAATCACGAGCCACCACACAGCTTGTAGATTCAAACAGCAACTCTTTATTCCCGAACTCACACCAGCCGTCTACAAACACGTTCTCGGGAAATCCACGTTCTCTGCCCAAATCCACGTTCTCTGCCCAAATCCACGTTCTCTGCCCAAATCCACCTCCACTGGGCTTCTATCTCCAAAATATACTGTCTGAATCCCGTGAGAACTCAAGGGGAACTCAGGCAGCAGGATACGCCCTATTCCCAGCAGGAATAATCTTAAACCTTAAACCTGGAACCTAAACTGGGAACGCCCTAAACACGATTATCTTAAAACCGGGAACACCCTAATCTGCCTTGGTCCTTGAGCAAGGTCACGTACATTCAATGTCACTGCAACATGGGGTACGCTGGCAAGGAAATTGTCATACCTACTTGGCTAATGGCTCCCAGCACACCCCCACCCGAGGCAGATCCCCACCAGCATAGTTACGGCTTCACAAAACGCAGAGCTGGCCCTGCCGCAGTGAGTCTCCCCCTCCCGGCTGATTCAAACACGTTTTCACACATCCAAACAAACCTGAAGGGACAGGCAGCACCAGGCCCTCCGGTCCTCCCCAGCCTGGCAGGGAGCCTGCTCCGCCTCACCAGGTGGGGGAGCGTCCACAGCAGGTCCTGACCTGCACACATGGGGCTCCTGCCGCCGCCTCCTTCTCCATCACAAAATGCTGCATGCAGCCACCAACCAGCACTTCCTGGAAAGCAGTCCCCTTCCCCAGAGCCCCCTTCCATAACAGTGCCCAACGTGCCCTGTGTGCGGCCGCTGACTTCGCGCTTTCCGTGCTTCTCCCTTAACGGCACTGCATGAGCAGCCCCGCACACAGGTGTGCACAACAGGAAGTGTGTCCTCAGGGAGCACCGGGCAGTGGGCCCCTACGGCCTGAGGATGAACAGCACACAGAACTGTCAGACGCTGGCCAGGCTCAGCCCCGCCTCTGGGGGCACCTCAGAGCAGCTCTGGGTGGTGCTGCTCTCCGTCAGGGCAGCTGAGAGCTCCGCCAAGTCCAGGTCTGCTGCCCATTTCCACAGGACTCTGGTGCCTTTTCCTGTGTATTTTAAAGTTCTTCATCATGGAACATCAGACCTTTATCAAATCAGGCTGTGACTGTCCCACCACACACCCAGGTTCTGACTTCCAGCGTGTCACCAGGACTCCGGCATGCCCCTTCTCCAGGCGCATTCTAGTAGTGACTTGTCCAACTGCAGGAAAAAGCCTACTGCGAGGGGACTGGGCATGCGTCAAGCTGACCCGTTAACTTAGCCAGACACCCCGGACAAAGCCAAAACATGTGCACAAGAAAAGGGCCCTCGCCTGTCCAAATCTACTCCGTGCCTCGGGGACCAGCCCTCAGCAGTGGCTCGGAACCACGGCAGAGACCTTCCTCAGGGTCTCCTGTGTCTGCTGGCGAGTCCTGGTCTCCTCGTCCACCGCATCGCCTACCAGACTAGTGTAACGAACCCCTGTGAGGAGACACACGAAAGGGCAGACAGACACGGGGTACAAGTGGGCAGACCGACGGGAGCGGAGAGGAGTAAAGAGGTGAAGAAGAGGAAGTGTCCGCTCCTCCCTCCCGCCCAGCTTATTCACTCAAAAAAGGCCACATATTACTCTTCACCGTGACTACACCCTGAGGGCCAACTGAGATCAGGTCCAGGTTAATACAAACAGAGCCTCTCACACCCAAGGACGTTACTATGGAAACCAGGTAGTGCACCCGCATAGTTATCTTAATAGCCTCAGGGGGAAACTGCTGGGCATTCCAATCGTGGGAATCAGGGCGCCAGTTGCCCCCAAGAGTTTGCTCACTGGGGGACGCTTCCCTGTCTATTTCCATGGTCAGAATACCTACAGACTAGTATGCACCATCTGGCAGAAACCCGAGAGCCTGGGAAGAAAGAATTGCTCTACTGCTCCACCTCACAGTGGCTTTTTACAAAGGAATCCAACATCCTGGCTTGGTGAGCAGCACCTCCTGATGCCCCCGGTGGCAAATCCAGAAACCCAGGTGGGGCTGACCTCCAGGAGTGTCCATCCCTGACTTAACTGCCTCAGTCACCAGCTGGAACAGCCAGAAGACAGGCATTCTCACTGCAAGAAGCAGAGCCTTAGCGGTAAGAAGCCCACCACACAGTGCTCCGCCCACCCCAAGCCCCCCTGAATCCACCCTTGTTCCTTCATGAGTCACCAGGCCTGCTGCAAGCAGGAGATTTTCCCTTTTCCAGAGCACTTCCACAAAAGCCAGCTTAGGAGGCCAGAGGTTCCACAGCTGCTGCATACCACAGGGGACACACTGCAAGAGGCAGCGTCCCACCCTTCCCATAAGCCATTAGGCCCACAGGAGCATGGAGCCCGACATAAGGTCAACAGACTGCCCCAGGTCACTCTGCAAGGCTGGCTGGGTAAACAACCTTGCTGTTTCCAATCGGGTGAGAGCTGCAGTCCAACAGGGTCCTGGCAGTCCAGGGGCATGCTGGCCTCCACCCCTGCAGCCCCAACTCCCACCTGCACATTCTGGACTACACCAGGCAGACAGACCCTCGCCAGTACAGGGGCGGGGCTGAAAACAAGCCCAGAAGCTCACGACACGGGCAGGCAGCTGTGTCCAGAACTACCTGGCCAGGGCCGAGGAGTCTTGTACCACTGCTGGCAGAGGCTGGCCGCAGAGAGGCAATGCCCAGTGCCTTTCACCAAAGCTCATGGAAACATGGCCTTCCAGAAGGGTTGGTGTTTCTAGGAAGACTTGTCAGCTACAGGCTACCACCGAGTGCAGCCTCTCGGAGCTCTCTGGAAACAGAGAAGTCACCAGAAATGACGGTGCCCGAAGCCCACAGCAGTGCCCAGCAGCGGCCGGCCTCCACTGTGGCGCTACAGGCCCCTCGGCCACGATACCAGCACCTTGCGGCGGGCCTGTAAGAACCAAGGGAGCAATGCCAGAACCAAGGGAGTGAAGCCTTGCGGTGCAGTAACATGGGACACTAAGTGACAACATGTCAGAGGCCACACTAACAACCCCCCAGGCCCCGAGCACGCAGAGACCCAGGTCTCCTGCGGGAAGGGCAGCTGACGCCGGGCTACTGCTGACACACGAGACTGCCCTCCTGTCACTTACTGTGCAGCCCAGGGCGACCCTGACCTCATTATTATCAGCTGCTCCCCAGAACTCAGCTCCATGCAGGAGTACGATGAAAACGCAGTCAACACGCCAGCCTGCACCACGCTGCCTCGGGCCCCCCCTGCTCTTCCAAGGGGAGCGGACGGGAGCGGCAGGGCACCGCCGGGTCCTGTGAGACCATCTGTGGACAGACTCACAGCTGGTCACTGCCACCCTGGAAATGACAACCCTTCCTCTGATCTGGGCATGCAGACACAATTCAAACCCCAAGCCCCAGATTGGGCACAAGTGGTGTTTTCTCTCTTGGCTCCTCTTTGGCTGAGCACTGTGGTACACAATCTCCCCTTGTCACCCAGGTTTTATTGCCTTCGACTGGGTGAGTTAAAGAAATACACTGTTAGGTGCCCCCGCCCCCTGTTCTCTTGTGGCAGGCAGGTCCCCTGGGCTGAGGGCCTTTGGCCTGTACAGTCCATCTGTGTTGATCAGGAGGCCCTTCCTCCCACCTCCTCTGTTGGGGCTGTAACTGTCCTGCAGGTCCGTCCCTTCAGCCGCCTTTCTTCCATCCTGGTCATTTTACCTTTAAAGCTAAACACTGTGTCCTGGAAACGGACCACCGGGATTTTCTATTACTCACAACAGAGTCAGGGCTGATCTTGCGGCTGCCTCGCAGAGAAGCCACCACATCTAAACCTCGGTGACTAACGGTTTGAACATTTTCTCTGGGTCCTGGGGGGCAAACAGCCCTGGCCAAGATGGCAGGCCTGTGATTCGTATTCCTCAAGAGGACTCACTATTCATGTCTTCTATGCCCTGGCCCAGGAGCTGCCCCACCCTGGTGACAAGTGACAATTTTCCACCCTGGTACAGCATCAGCATGAAATCCCTTTCCTGCCTGAGTGGTCTGTGACAAACAGGGTGGAGTGAGCACTGCTGCTGAGCCCCTGAAAGGGACCCAGTCAGTCTCCACAGGGGCCTGAGGTCACCTTCTCCCCAATTTTCTTTCTCTCTTTATCATGTCACACTGTGTTGCCAGCTGGCCTCACACCTCAGCCTCCCGAGCAGCTGGGATCACAGCCATGTGCCTGCGGCCCCGGCTTCATCTTGTTTCCCTAAGATGGCAAAAGACACATCAACACCAGCATCTTAAAGCCCTTTGAGTGCTGAGATGGCTGTAAGCATTTCACAAAGTTGTACAATCATGACCCCTGCTCACCTGTCCCTGTAACCCACTGCAGCACCACGAAGCCCCCAACACTTCCCACCCTGTCATCAAGGTTCAGGCGACTACATCAGAACCCCCGTCCCTTCCCTCTTAGGTCTGGACAGCGTCCCACTGTGCGTGCACCATGTTCCCATCCCCTGTCCTGTGGAAGGAGGCCTGCATGGCCTCCACATCTTCTCCACGGTGAACAGCGCTACGTGAACACAGCTGTGCAGATCCCACGTGCCTGCGGCCCCGGCTTCAGTTCCCGTGGGTCCAGTTAGGCATGGAATGGCGGGTCCCGGGTTCCCTGCAGCGGCTGCCTTGACGGCACTTGCTGGCTCCTCTCTGGGCCCCTGATGTGCTTCCACACCACACACTGGCAGCTTCCTCTCCAGCACGGCTTGCAGTTGACTGTCCACCAGCCTAAGCTGCACACACTCTTCTCAGAAGGATCTGTTCACCTCACATGGAGAACCTGTGAGCACCACCTGCAGGCTCCCTAAAATCAGTGATGGCTTGCACCTTAAAGTGCCATTGAAAAGCAGCGAGGGGCTGGGCAGGTGAGGCCACAGGGTCTCTGCTGACATCCCAGCCAGCCCCAGGCTATGGAGGTCACAACAGTGCCCAGAACCCATCTCCACCTGGCTACAGAGGTCCAATGTGGGTTGCCTGGGTGCAGACTTAGGAGGGAGCCCATCCCACGGGGAGGGAGGCTGGCTGAAGGGCCCGGTCTCCTGGTGTTCTGCAGCTTCTGCCTAATTGCTTACCTTCAAACACTGAAAATGAGCCTGCCCTCCAGCTGTAAGGAGAGCAGCCGCACAGCAAGGTGCTCTCTTCCCAGTGCTTCCGGGGGCAGCTGCTCCCAGCCCATCCCTGTCTCAGGCACCAGGTACCCACGCCCCAGGAGATGAGTAACCAAGACTCACTGTGTTAGAAAACTCACTGGTGGGAGCATGGCTCTGAATGCAGCCAGCCAGGACAACCCAGCACCCGAGCTTGTAAGCAAACACACCAATGCACTCTGGCCAGTCCCCACCACCTCCAGTCCCAGATGTCCCCTTCACACCACTTCCCACTGCAGGCCTCAGAGTACCACCAGTGCAGGAGAGGGATACCTGCTATCAACAGTGCATGTCTGACAACCCAGTAACGGCAGCAGAAGAACCTGCAGCCGGGCATCCACCTTTCCAGGGGCCCAGGGCACCACCAACTCCAGGACCACATCAGGCCTTACTTCTGTTCCCTTTCTTGTGGGGGCGGGGCGTGCCTCATTCTGTGGCATATCTGCAGCCTCCTCTCAATAAGAGCTGCCACAAACTGGGACCGTGGGGCCCTATACAGGCACTCTGCAGCCATGGCAGCTCAAGAATGCACTAGCCCCATGGGGAGGTGCTTCCCATTCTCTCCTGCAAAGGCCAGCTCAACACCCAGTGTTCTGTTACTCTTGGTCTTCAGATTAAGTCCAGCTTCATCTTATTTGTTAAAATACTACCAATGAAACTAGAGATAGTGAGATCAGGGGTTGCCAGAGGCTGGGTATAGAGGATGAACAGGCAGGCGCAGAGATGTGCTGGCCAGGAAAACCCCTGTGTGCTCCTGCAATGGTGGGTCCCCGTCAGTGCACATCTGTCAAACCCAGAGAGTGCATACATTAGGAGCGACCCCTCTGTAATCTGTGGGTACAAGTCAGACATCAGTTCCAAAATCGGTTCACCAACTATAACAAAGGTCCATGCCAACACAAGATAGATGTGAGCAACAGCAGAGACCGCGAGGGACAGAGGTGTTTAGGACTCTGTGCTCTGTTCAGTTTTTCTAAAACCCAAAAGTGATCTATAAAATTACTCTTAGAGGCCAAGCTCACTGGTAGAGAGCTTGCCTGGTAGTGTGCATGGCCCCGGATCCCTGTGCCTGCCCCCCCATACACAAACTGAAAAGTCAAAAAATTAGGTCAAAGGGGGATTTCTCCACTGGTAGCAAAATGTCTCAGATTTTGGGGTACTCCAGATTTTTGGATTAGGCATGCTCCCCCCACATAAGCTTTTTGAATGCTTACCTGTCTTAACTAGATCTTTCACTCACCTCTTTCTGGCGACCTACAAACCGAATTTTCCTGTAGTCTTTATCATCATAAACCTGAAAGAAAAAGACCATCTGTGATTTCACAGTCCAGTTCTGAAAGTGGTCACTGAACATCAATGACAATGTTTCAGGGAAGTGCATTTCCCTGGCATTTAGGCCTCTGAGGTTGAACCCAACGCCCAAGAAGTGTACTGTGCAAGAAGGAGCGTTTGCCAGAAAGATTCTGAAGGCAGGTGGAAAGCCTAGGGGAGCTGGCCAGCAGGAAGGGAAGAGAAGAGACAAGCCTGACTCGGGAAGGACCCCCAACCTTCTTTTCACATATGGCAAACGGCTTCATTTCCTCCTCTAAATACTAAAGACAAGTATACAGGGTCATCTGTTGGTTCACCATCGTAGTGGAGCGCCATTCTGGGCTTTACGCTACATCAGACTCCTCGAGTTAGCAACACCCTCGATTTAATACTAAGCAGCCTTAAGAAATTTGACCAAAAGAACTGGCGGTTACAGACTTCCAAAAGGATGTCTGCCCTAGACAGCGGGCAGAGCTGCCCATCGGACAGCTCCTGAAGGTAGCCCAGGAGCGGCCCAGGAGGGCTGAGACCCCCACCGTCCCGTCGGTGCGCGCGCTTACGAACACTAGTGTGCACGAGCGTGTCAGTGAGCGGGGCAGCACAAGCGTGCACAGCGTGTCAGCTGCGCGGGGCAGCACAAGAGTGCACCAGCGTCCGTCGGTATCTGTGCGACCCCCGACGCTGTCTGCCCGCTGCCTCCCGCGAGCCCACCATGCCGTTCCCCGCCGAGCCGCGGACCAACCATTACCTGGCCGGTGTGCGTGACCTTCTCCCCTGTCGGCGACACCCGCACGCCGAAACTCCGGGCCACCCGGGGCAGCCACAGCAGCTGGCGGAAGGTCACTGCCGCCGCCATCTTGCCTGTGACCCTTGACCCGCGCGCCGTCGCTCCAAGGGCCGCGCATGCGCCTGGCTTTCGGCGGGGGCCTGTGCTCCCGAGATTTCACCCCAAGAGGTGCGCGTGCGCTTCGCCGTCTGGGAGGGCTGGGACTGCGCTCAGTTGAGGCGGAGCTCTTTGAGGACGCAGGTGTTCCGCAGTTAGTAATGCCCAGCAACTCTTACTTGGGAAAAGGCAGAGGAGGGTGGAAACTGAAGATGCACTGCTTGTATTCTCATGACATCGATGATCATGAGAAGTTTAAGTATCGGCATTTTTGGTAGACATCAGTGCTTAGCGGAAGAAAATGGAAGTGCATCCCCCTTGCAAAACATGCAGCGTTCCTGGTAAGGAGGCAGCCCAGTTCGTGGGTTTCTGCAACAGAGACCTAATAAAAGCTACCAGTAAAACTACAGTCGATTTTATCTAGCATGCAAAAACACAGGCTTGAGAAATGCCTAAGACAGGGTACAAAACTCTGGCCTCCAAACCTGGTATGGGCTGTTTCGCCCCTCAGGCTTCGTCCTCTAACGTAAACCTTTTTCATAGACTTTTCCAAGGGTTAAAGTCACACAGGGGCCAGCCCGTAGAACGAGCAAGCTCGAACATCATAGGGACAAGATTAAGGTGGGGCCCTGAATTTACAGGAAAAACAGGAGTGGGGTTGAGGTGCTAATTCCCTAAGGAGTTAACAGAAGCTTACATGTATCCATCCGGGCATGCCACAGTCTGGATTCTGGTTTGATGCACTGGTAGCTGCAGCCAGAGTCTGAGGACCAGGTGACTCCAAGAAAAAACGCCTACATATTGCTGGCAGGTATTGGGAAATGATAAAGAGGAAGAAAAGTCGATAAGAAACAATGCGCATAAAAGCCTTCAGAAAAAGAAAAGGTGGTCCAACAAATGCCATGCTCAAAGGCAGAATTGTCTCAAAGCTAATAAAACTCCAGGATCCTGGTGCTCACCTGGTGAGGTACAAAGGTGGGCTGCCTGATTAGCCTTGTGAACTGGCGGAGAACAAGTGCCAGCCTGATAAGACTCACTTCGCTATACGTAAAAAGTGAGATGGATGAATTCACTTATAGATACCTGAAAACAAATATTCAGAGAGCTAACTGGACAATCTAGGTGTTCACTCTAAAATTTGTTGCACTATTTTACGTGTTTGGGGCTTTTCATAATGTTGGAGATAAACAGTTTATTCGTGATCAATTAGGGGCACTGTCTATATCCACTCGCCTCTATGAACCCCTTCATATTTCTGCCAGGATGTCACTTATAGAACGTTATCTTTCACATATGTTTAGACACTGGTTTGTCAGTTTTCCCTATGTCTAAGTGGTTGTAATTTCTTTTTCATTGTGAATATGCAGTTTCACTCCCACTTCTGCATTTTCGCCCAAGGCACACAAGTAGCCGACCGGAATGGTTCGCGGGAGCCCGGTGCGCAACGCCCGGCTAGCCTAGTGCGCATGTGCCTTTAGCTCTGCGCCTGATGGAGGGTGGGGAGGGGCAGGAGACTCGCCTCCATCTTACTTCCGGGCGGTAGCGTCCCGCGCCACTGAGCAGGCGCCTGCGCAGGCGCAGGAGCGGGAGAGCGGGTGGTGGTGCGGACGGACGGTTCCTTGCCAGGTCAGGGTCCGGGGTTCCGGGCGCCTCTGTTTCCCCGGGTGGGCAGCGGGTGGGGCGGGGGCGCGGCGCGGGCGCTGACTGGTTTTCTCCCACAGGCCGGGACGAGGCATGGCCGCACTACTGGCGAGGCGCGTGCTGGCGACCGTCGCGGGCTCGCTCCGACTCCTGAGCCCTTGCGCCGCGGCGTCCGCCTCGTGCGCGTCCCTGCTGTCCGGCCTCGCGGGCGCGGTGCGGGCGGGCGCCGTGCGGGCGGGCGCCGTGCCGCTCCCTCCGCTCCCGCAGCCCGCGGCGGGCTTCAAGACCAAGGCTGTGCTCAAGAAGCGCTGCAAGGACTGCTACCTGGTGAAGCGGCGCGGGCGCTGGTTCGTCTACTGCAAGACCAACCCCAGGCACAAGCAGCGGCAGATGTAGCGGAGCCCTCGGCCTCTGCGCGGGCGACCGACCGACGCGACCTCGGGAACGTGCCTTATCAGAGGAAATAAATTTTAACAGCCCGTGTTCTGACCTCTCTTGACCTTAGGGCCGGCAGCCCTTTGTATCAGCCCACACCTAGTCAAGCCAGAGCCCCAGATGGGAAGCGAATTGCCTTCCTCCGCCGTGGAGTGTTTGCGCACGGACTAGAGGGTGGAAGACCCCTGGAGTCCGAAGGCGCTTCCTGGGGCGGAGCTCTGGCCTGTGTCTTACAAGCCCCGGGGACAGCAGTCCCATCCCAAGGACCCGGCTGAAAGACATGTGGGCAACTTCTAGCTAAAGGACACTTAATCCGTTTACTGCAAATGCCTTTGGGGTAGCAGTTAAGTCTGTCATTCTTGGTCTGAGGCAAAGCAGAAATGCCCCATGTCAGCAAGTCGATGCTTTCAGAAAGTGGTAGTTGATGCTTTGCTAAAGGAGATGAGAAGCAAAACCGTACCCTGGTGTCTTTGCAGAGGATCTGAAGGAAGCATTATGCTCTGGCATTTTGGAGAGCTGCCGTTTGTCAGTGTTGAAAAGCTGAAGCAGGATTCTTGGGAAACGAGGTCCTTTTGTGTCCTGGCTCTTCATGTGCTGTGAGTCTCAGAGATGAGTCTCATGAATACAGTGAACCTTAGTTTGGCACAATTACTGGCTGGTTCTAAACTACAGAGAACGTGTGTGGGCCCACGAGTCCAATACAGGGAGCTGTGGACCCGGTTCCCCAGGGTAGGGAATGTGGAGACTGTTGCTGGAGTACCAGCTGCCCCCGCGTCAGAAATTCAGGAAGTTTGACAGTGGGTGATGACAATAAATGACAGAGTTTCAAATACCAGGTGTCATTTCCCAAGGTCACCCCTGTGAAGTGCCTGTGCCCTGGGCCTCTGATGCTCAGGGAAGTGGGGAGGGATGCTTCTGGTGGAGCCCAAGCACCAGTGGTAATCAGGCACCGAGGAGAGGGATCTTGGCAGTGCTGAGCGTTTAAGGGGGAGAGAAAGGAGCATGCCCAGACCTAGGCGGTTGGTGTGACTCGCACACACGTGAACCTGGAGATGGCTAGGAGACTCCAGAAGCAGCAGAGTTTTGGTTTGGGGGTGCTAGGCCATAGGAGGGAAAATGGATAGTGTCATAAGCAGAGCCTGGCATCTTATGGGGAGAGGACCTGGTACAGACAGATGAATAGTGTAGTTATTCCCCGGGGTCCAGGTCACCTGTCATGGGCAGCCCGGCCAGCACCTACTGGAGACAGTGGCAGCTCTGTCTGCCTGGGGAGTGACCAGGAGCCTGGTCCAAAGTGGACAGACAAGGCAGCTGAAGGGACTGGTGGGACCTCCCTGTCCCTGGGCTGCTGGAGCCCTTTCATCATGGCCACTCCTGCACATCCATCCACTCTGATGCCCAGCTCTCCCATTTGAAATGATGGTGCACAGAGGTCTGAGCATAGGCCAGGTCCCAGCTCTGCCATTGCCCGTGGTGTGACCTTGGCTCTGTGCTTCAGCTCCCTCTCGAAGTGGGTGAGAAAGGTGGACTGCCACCTTGGAGCTGGCGTGGTGGAATGCAGGTGTGGAGTTTGTGTGTGGTTTTATTAGTAACAGAATAAGCGGCAACTTTTATTCCCAAGGTTTTCCAGTACAATTGTTTTTCAATAAAAATAAGTAAGCCTTTCCAATGGCTGAATTCCTCACCCTCTGAACTCTATCCGGCCGGGTGGGCGCTGTGCAGACAGGCTTGGGGGTGAGGCAGGAATTCTGAGTCTGTGTGACAATACTTGGGACCTCCTGGAAGAAAGGGTGAGTTCACATCACCTATCAGGCACACAAGCCACTCCAGTGCTTCTGAGTCAGCTGTTTCATTGCCCACTCTTGAGGGTCTTGGGGAAGGACCCCACTGGGTGGTTTGTCTGATCTGCAGGGCCACCTCTGGGTGTCTCCAGCATTGTGCTGTGACAACTCAGGCTCTTCTCACAGAATGCTGAGCCGTGTGGGCCGCTCAGCACAGCAGACTGGCCATCCCAATCTGCTTCCCAAGAATGAGCGTCCAGTAGATCCAGACAGATGAAGCCACGCTTCCTAGAACTTGGCCTCCAAATCCCCAGGGTCATTTTGCTGAGTTCTCAGCTCAGGCAGTCCTGGTAAGCCCAACCAGGCTACCCTGGCTGGAGGTGGCAACACCCCTGGGGAGCAGGGATAGAGCCAGCCTGCCCTGGTAGTGGTAAGTTGGGCTAACCCCACACCTAAGTCAGCAGGAGAGCATGCGTGGGCAGCTGTGTCATGTATTTCACTAGTGGAATGCTGGCTTGGTCTGCACCAGCTGCTGCAGCATGGCACTTGGAAAGTTAGGTCCCCAGGTGTGCCCTCGCCCATGAGGCTAGATTCAGAGGTCCAGCTGATGACGTGGCCAGGCTAGTTCCTGTAGCCTCTCCCATTGGTGTGTGGACACTGTCTCCCCCATGTCCCCACATGGTCATTGCTCTGTGTATCTGTGTCCTGATCTTCTGAGGACCCCAGTCAGAGTGGACTAGGGCCACACTAATGACCTCATTGAACCAAATGACCTCTCTAAAGATCCCAACTCCAAATCCAGGCCTTCTCTGAGGCACTGGGGTTGGGAAGTTAACGTGCATTTGGGGCACAATTCAGCCCATTGCAGATGTGAGATGTAAGGTGGACTTCTACCTGTACCTGTCCGCTGGGATTGGGTGGACCTCCTTATCCCACCAGAAAAGGGTTTTCCAAAATTGAGGGGTGGGAAAGATATGCAAGAAGCCTGCCTTGTAGAAGAAACCCCCGAGTCCGAGTCAGCAGCAGGTCTGGAGGCCCTGGGGGCCCCAGAGGGGAGCCGTGGCCACAGCAGCCCCAGTCCTGTCCAGAAGAGGACGAAGCCTATCTTGGCATGAGCTCTGCTTGGGATGGCTCGCCCTCCCCACATAGGGGTTGGTGGGCAGA